AGGTTTTCAAGCTGAGGCTGGATGTGGTACTAGTAACCATGGTAAGGTTAGACTTGATGATCTTGGAGGTCTTTTCCAACCCCATTGATTCTAAAATAATGCCTTTCTAAATAATGGAACAGCTCTTATGCCTCCAAGGTGAGTGTAATAGATCCAGAGTTGAAAATACTGTGGAAAACCTTCTGAAAACCAAATCTTTGCCTTGCAGGAGAGTTTACCTCATGCTGCTGAATCCCTTAGTGCTGCGTGAGGCCCTTCAGGCTGTGTGGTGTGTGTGAAGTTAACGTTTCAATGTCAAGTTTTGCCCTTTTTCCCTGGCACCTGCAAGTGTGTGTTGCTATTACAGTTTATCCCCAAAAGACACAAACCCATGTGGTTGTTAAGAGCTTTATTGGCCTGAAGATTGGTTGAAAACTAAACAGTGTAAATTGAAGTCAGCTTATCAAAAAGCTGTCTAGAAAGGTAATTAGATCTACAATTAGGCTTATGGCTCTTGTTTCCATGGAATTCCCCTTTGGAGCATCTGATGATTGTGGGGTTTGGTCTTTTTCCAGCATCTTTTTACAAATGAGCCATTTGCAAACGTACATGATGCTGTGATTCCACAACTGGAATCAGAATGATTTGGGTTGGAAAAGCCCTCTGAGACCATGGAGTCTGACCATTCCCCCAGCACTGCCAAGCCCAACACTATCCCATGGCCCCAAGTGCCACATCTGTATGTTTTCCAAATGCATCCAGGGATGGTGACTCCACCACTGCCCTGGGCAGCTGTGCCAGTGCCTGACCACCCTTTCAGTGAAGAAATTTTCCCTAATGTCCAACCTGAACCTCCGCTGGTACAACTCGAGACAGTTTCCTCTCATCCTGTGCCTTGTTCCCTGGGAGCAGAGCCTGACCCCACCTGGCTGCACCTCCTGGCAGGGAGTTGTAGAGAGACAGAAGGTCCTCCCTGAGCCTCCTTTTGTCCAGGCTAAGCAACCCTCATTAGCTGTCCTTGTCAGGCCACTCTTCCCTCCTATTTTGGCAGATACTCACCTCTCTTTTCTGCCCCTTACCCAAGTAATAGCCAGCTCAGGGAGGTCAGAGTTTCTCTTTACTTATGCTTTGTCTTATGTCAGCTTTGGATTCTGTGAGGAGCAAGAGGTGATTGCAGAAGTGCTCATTACCTCCCTGGCCCTGCTGATATCCTTTCTGAGCTGAAAGTGATTCTGTCAAGTTGAAATGCTGAGTGTTTTGTAGTTACAAATGCTGTCTTGGATTAACTTTAATGATTTCTTTGAAGTTGGTCCTGGCAGCACTGAGTGGCTAAAACAAAAGTGTTTTGCTCACATAATACAGGCCCAAAAATGGAGTGTGTTGGGTTGAGCTTATTTGACAGAAGAGCCCTTAGGGCTGTGGGTTTGCAGAGTATAAGACACCCACCAGCTTTTCAATGCCTATATGTACATATTCTCAGAAGTTCAACAATAAGCCTTTAAAATGCAGCTGGAATTAAAATGGCCAGGAAAAAATGCATTCACTTCACTCTCAGATGTGAATTGAATCCTGACTAAACTTAGAGAAAAGGCCAGAAAGGGAACGAAATGGTTGAGAAGGTTTATCTCTCCTTCGTGCAGTGCGTTGATGCGCTTCTCTTCTCTTACCTGCCAGTGTCAATATGCAGGTTTAAATCATGTAGTTCTTGTGTTTATCTACCAGCCAAGTGTTTTGAATCCCAAAGTTTGAGGGAGTGAGTCTTTAGTGAGGGCTTTAGGATTAGCTGCTACCAGTGTCCGTTTTCTCTAGGTTACCAATTGCAGTCTTTAAAACTGGCAGGAATCCTTGAACTTTAATGTTCTTTCTGGCATGGAGAACGTGGATTGGGAGGGGGAGGCAGCAATGTATTCCTAAACCTTATTTCCCAGACAGAGAACCTTTGTTTGAAGAGCTTTTTTACTAAATACATGAGGTTTTCTTGGCTAAGATTTTTGGTGCTGGAGCTTGTTTCGTCATCTTTCCGATCAAGGGAAATCAAGTTTGTGTTACAACTTCCAGATGGTTCAACAAGTTTGAATAAATCCTGGCTAATGAACTTTTTTTTTCTTGCTTACTTTCCAGAAGTGTTTTCTGTAGGCAGTGTGAAATAGTTGTCTGTGTGTTCTCAACTCGATTGCACTTTGAACTAGATGCTGAACACAATAAGGAAGTGTTCCTACAAGAGCCCTGATGAAGCCATTTGTTCTCCACGTGCACTCCAGGAAGGGCAAACTCAACACCCCAAGCCTGCGAAGACACATTGTTGTCCTGCAGCTCTTCTGAGTTGTGTTTTTGTTTGTATAAAACCTTGCTGTGCTTTCTGCATCAGACACAGATAAGAGTTTGGGTGGTTGTGCTTGACGCTGGCAGTTGGGATCTCTGTGGGGTTTATAAATTACCTTTGAGCTCCAGCATTTGACATCTCTGTCTTGTGCAGCATAACAGTATCTTCAAAGGGACAGGAGTCCCACACCTGCCTCTGCTTTCTCTTGACGTGCAGACGCTCAAATCCTGGAACATGCCTTGGAGCCAGATACTCCAATTATGTCCAGACACACCCTGCTAATTAAGCAGTGTTGTGACCTTCCTAGCAATTTAGTGTGCAAGCTTTGATTTCCCCCTTCCCTCCCAAGCCCCTTGTTTGGGTTTCACTTGATGAGGTGTGGGGTAAGAGTGCATTAACTCTTTGTTTCCTGGAGAAGATAATACAGCCCAAGGCTCAAATGTCACCTTGGACAAGAATTTGAGTGCCAGAGCTGTTTAAAGCTCTGGTGAATAACGTTTTTTTCTGTTTCTAGGGGTCCTGAAGACACCTGTTTTGAGTATGGGGTTTTCCCTGCTATCCTGAGCTTCCCACTTGACTACCCGTTGAGCCCTCCGAAGATGAGGTTCACGTGTGAGATGTTCCATCCCAACAGTAAGTCTGATGCAGCAGGATGCATGGAGGAGGGGGTTGCTTGTGCACTTTGCAGTAGGAGAGCTGGGATCCTTCCCAGGGGTGGTTCTCTCCCTTTCCAGCCTTGAGCACACAGCAGGAGTGTTCTCCTGTGCAGAAGTTTTGCTCTGTCTTAGGGTCCTTTTCTCTTTATCACCTTATTCCTCATAAACCTTTGGTTCATAAACAGTCCAGTAAAGATTCCAACAAATTCACTGCCTCTAAGGTAACTCTAGGAATCCTTGTAACTACTGAGTAAAGCTAAACCTGGTGTGTATGATCTGAGACTTAGTGAGTTAATACAGGCTCTTTCCAGTCCAGCTTTGTGGCTTGTATTAAGGTTGTTGTGTGTCCTTTTAAGGAGTGAAAAGCTGTTCATGCTCACCAAAGTGTGGGTGCAGCTTTATTAGGCAGCATGGCTTTTCCTCCATGAAGTCCCAGGTTTGTTTAGCATTTCCCATGGGATCTTCCTGAAATAGTGCTCTGCCCAAGCAGACAACATGTTTGCAAATGTTTTAATATTAAGACTTTGCTGACCTTTGCTCTGCAATTCTGATTGCAATTGTACTCCCTGATGTAATGCCCTGGTCTGCTGGGCAGGTTGAGGGGAAGGTAATTTTGGATTACTCTGGGCAGTGCACAGGAGAAAAAACTCAGTTCTCAGAAGGTTCAAGAAGAAACAACTTTTCCTTATGAACTTTGGGTCACCCCTGTGGAATAAGACACTTGGCAAAAGGAAAATCAGTAAACTTCATAGCATTCAAACACAGTGCAAACTTTAACTCAGCATACCTTGAGAGAACAAAGCCTTAGCCAGGCACTGATGGTGGCACTTAGCGAGTCATTAAGGCTTGTAACTTAACAAGGACTGTGTAGATGTTGTTTCTCCTCACCCAGGCTTGATGGGCTGGGGCTGTGTCCCAGGCTGTTAGGTCTGTGCCACTTAAGAGCAGTGAAAGGCAAACCTCTGCAGCTGACCTTCCCTCACTTGCAAAACACAAACCATAATCTCAGCTGGGAATCGATTTATTTCATCCCATTCCAAGGAATTTTGCAATTTCTTGAGGTTCTTCTGTTCTTCCCTTTCTGGAAGCACCACTCGTGCAGATTCTTGCCTAAGTAATCCACATCTTTCTGTTCTCCTGGGGAAGACACACCTGCATGTGACAGTGTAGAACTGTGTGGGCATGCCCAAGGCAGTGTGGCATCACTTCTGGAGCTCTGATGTCCTCAGCAGGGCACTGTTTGGCTCCTGGAAGCAGTCTGGCCACATCAGCACCTTGCTCCAGCTGGGCTAATTCACCCAAACTTCTTGCCAGGGCTTGTGTCCGTGAGCAAATCTGTGTCCAGGCAATACTCTGCAGCTCCAGCTGTGGCCTTGGCTTGAGGTTCTCTGCTCGTAGGTGTTGTGTGCAGCCTTACCAGAAGGAGTAGGATGCAGAGAAGCACAAACTGCCTGACCCTTGGTGTTACAGAGTGGCTTTGCACGTGGGTGCTCCCTCCACGGGACTAACTGGAGCACACTGGCTGGTCAGCTCAGCTCTTAAAAGTCCCCCAACTCTGGGTCTTGTTAGTCCGAAGGTGAGATCACCTGAAGTAGACACTTGAATCTTTCTGCTCAGGTGGGGTTGTGGTGGGCTGGAAGGCTGCAGAAATGGGTGGCTGTGCTGTGCTGCTTCTGTCCCTCAAGTGCTTGTTCCTCCACCTGTGAGAAACTGGAAGGAAAACTGTCTGCTGTGTTCCCTCTCCTCTGAACTCATTCCAGCAGCTTCACTTCCTTCTTATGTTGGGACCCCAGAGCAGGAGGCAACACTGCAAGTGAGATGTCCCCAGAGCAGAGCAGAGAGGGAGAAGATGTGTACATGTTCGTGGAATCAGCCCACGCTGCCTTGGCTGTGCCGCTGTGTTTGGTTGTTTTTGATGAGGCACTGCACAGGAACAGGAGAGTCACCACAGAAATCCCTTCTATCAGTGGGTTCCTAACTTGCAAGAAGTGCCGAATCAGCACCTGCAGTTTCCACCTCTCCCAGCTATGGCTAGACCTGTTCCAGTGCCCAGCCCGGGGCTGCAGGAGGGGATTGAAGTCTTCCATGTTGCAGGCTTGTGCAGGCATAGCTGGATGAAAGGAACGAACTGAGAATGAGCACAGCTGCTTTCAGCTGTCATTCCCACTCTTTTGTCTTACTTTCCTGGCAGTGGCACAGCTTTGGTCACCTGAGGAGTAGAAGCACTGGCTGCAGAATTAGGGCATGTTGCTAGAGCAGTGTTCCAACTCTTTGTGGTGCCTCTTCAACCTTTCTTTGGCTTCATTACCAAGTCAGTGAAGTCCAGTCTCTGTGAAGACAGCTTATGCTCTTGGAGACACTTTGCTTACGCTACAGGTGGGAGAGGAAGTTGTCCACATCCTTAATTCATAGGCTTCCTTGTTTCCAGGTGCTTTAATGCAGCTGAGCTTTAAGCACCTTGAAAAGAAGTAGTGTGAACTCTTCTGGTTGCACCTCAGTAGTGTTCAGGGCTATTGTTTCTAACATATTTAAAGTAACACTTTATTTGTTGTCTTGTTTCTATAATGCATTCTATAATTTGTTGCATTGTTTCTATAATGCAACACGTTTTTCTCCTGTGTTTAATTGACATGGTCACAGTCCAGTGGAGGACTCCCAACATGTATCCAATGCATTCAGTTCCATTCCAGTAGGGCTAGTTACCTGCTTGGAGCTGTGCCTGTGCATAAATCCTTGCCTTATTCCACCAGGCTGCATCTTTTATTTTTCCCATGGAGCCTGTCCCTGGTTATTAAATGACACGGAAGCTTCTGTTGGGAAAGGGTGACCCAAGTTTGTTAGGAGATTCTTGCTAGATTTTTTTTCTTTCAGATTTTGTGCCCTCTTGCCTTTGGAAGAGGAGCTGTAAAACTGGGTTTATCTTCAGTCATACGAAGGCCAAGTTCCAACGTTGATCTGTGCTAAAGATCTGGAGAGGCCAGGCATTCCCACTGAGTAATAACCAATCCTCTGTACCTCTTGTGCAGTTTACCCAGATGGGAGAGTCTGCATCTCTATCCTTCATGCTCCTGGGGACGATCCCATGGGATACGAGAGCAGCGCAGAGCGATGGAGTCCTGTGCAGAGTGTGGAGAAGATCCTCCTCTCGGTGGTCAGCATGCTGGCAGGTGAGCTCTGCTGTGCTCAGCAGTCCCTGTGTTAGCTGGAGCTGTTAGCCTCTTGCTGGTTGCCTTGTTCAGTGTGCAGAGCACGTGTAAAGCTGCCCAGCAGCAGCCACAGCTCTTAAAGCCCTGGTGTTTATGTATTAATTATCTATTAATGAACCAGTTCTCTGCTGGTTCCCTGCTCCTGGACAGAGCCTTTGTACTTGCTCTGGTGCCTATTCAGCTCTTAAAGCTCTTGAAGTCCTGCATGGGACTGTTTTAGCTTTGGAATGGTATCCTGCTGTTGGGAAGCTGTGCAGACACACAGCATCTCCTAGGGCTTCCCACAGCCTCCAAGAGCTCAGTTTGTGGTGCAGCCTTGCCTGGATTGGTAGGTGTGGGAGTCACCTGGTCTCTCTTCTGCTCTGCCTGTACATCATGTTTTCCTGTAGCTTTTGGAGGAATTATGCTAAAACACCAGTGGTCAGTTCCTTCGTGCTGCTAGCACACTCAGCTCTGCAGATAGCCTAAGCCCAAGCTGACCAGAGTTGGTTACCTGCACTGTTTTTTTGGGGTGGACCATCACCATTGTGTGGAGAAGGTTGTGTGCCATGAGCTGGGCTGGAGTGGGTTTGGACTAGTGTGTGAAGCAGAATGTCTTAATGACTTGTGTAATCCCAGGGCAGCTGTCCCTCTGTGTGCTGCCACAAACCTGATAAATCCCGTGTTTCAGCTCATCCCCGGACAAAATGGAGCACTGGAGTCACAGAGGCTTCGTGTGCTGTGTGAAGTGCTCCAAAATCCTGGCGTGGAATAAATTGCAGAGAAAAAAGCATTCTATGAATTTTCCTTGGTTAGGTTTGTTGAGTTTTGATAGAAGAAGCCACCCCAACGAGTGACAGAGTCTGTTTGGGCGGCCTGGTCAGGGGGAATTTGTGTCTGGGAATCTGCAGTACCAGAAAAAAAAAAAATTTTGCAGGGAGCAACACGTGATTTTCAAGCCCCTCAGTGTCCCTGGTGGCTCCTCTGCCACTGGTTTCTCACCTTCACGCCTGCTGTGATATCCTTTCTCTTGTGGTCAGTTAAATCAGAGCTGTTTGGGAATCCAGGAGCTGTCATTGGATTTCTTCAGTGGTGCTTCTGTGGCCCCAGGGAGGGGAAGTGTATCGAAGCCTTGGGGAAGTGCCATTCTGGAGGGTCTTGCTCTGTTGCCCATCAACCTTTCAGTCTTTCTCATTTCAGAGCCAAATGATGAGAGTGGAGCCAATGTAGATGCCTCCAAGATGTGGCGTGAAGACAGAGAACAGTTTAACAAAATTGCCAAGCAGATTGTGCAGAAGTCACTTGGACTTTAAGCTCACAGAGAGACTGAAGTGCTTTGTATTTCTCTCCACCTGGAAACGAGCAGTGCTCAGTGCTGGTACCAAAAAGGAAAACTTTGTAAAACTATTGGCCTAGTTCTTATCATTCATTATTTATTTGCCATCTCTTATCTTCCACTGCTCCAGAGAAGCCTCTAGTTCACTTGCTAAATTGTGTGGAAAAGGGATTTAAGACTAGGGAAGAACACAGAGACAATGCTGTTTGGAAGGCTGCTTGTTGCTGCCTCGCGTGGTGGTGTGGAGAGCCTGGAGACTTGGCAATCTGCTTCTGGAGAGCAGCACTGGTGTGGATCGACTGCTGGAAGTATTAGCTGTGTTTTTGTAGGTAGCATTGCCTCTGGAACAGCAGCAGGCAGGACATAATCTCTCCAGTTTGTGATACTCACTGGGTTAAGGGCAGCATTTGCAGCAGAACTAATTTGAGGAATATAGTAGGCAGGAGAGGCTATAAAGCAAAGTTATAGTCAGGGTATGCTAGCAAAGAAAGGAACTTCAGAGGACCCAAGGAGCTGTGAGGACTGGATGGGGATCTGGAGTGACCTGGTGTTCCCACTGTGAGTTTGCACTGAGCCTTTGAGTCAGTGTTGGCTTGGAAGAAATCCCAAGAGCTGCTTTATTACTCCTTACAGATACTCAGTTGTAAACTTTACACTCAGTTAGAGGCATGAGGTGTAAAGACTGGAGTGTTAAACATTTCAGTCCAGGTTGTCCTGGGCCTGGTGGGCACGAAAATCCAGTGAGGATGTGTCTGCTCCAGTGGGCCTGTAAATAGCTCTGCAATAACGTCAGCCTCTCTGCTGACAGGTGGGTCTGGAGAGGATTGGTCACTGCTGGCCTGGGCCAGTACAGCCCAGGTCACCTGCCTGCAGGTGAATGTGGAGAACTTGGTAAAATTACCTGTGACACTCTATGCTGAGAGCTTCTGTGTGTTGAACTAGGAGCCAGAGAGGACAGGGACTGTTTTCTCGAGGGTGGTACAATGCATGTTTTGGAAGGAAGTGCTGTAGCTGGTGTGAAGGGTGCAGGAAAATACCAGCTGATCAGTTCCTAAAACTGCTGAGGGGCCTCTGCTGACCTTTCTGCTTTGCAAGCCAGTCTCGTGTGTAGGTCCAAATCTTCTCCAAATTACTCCAAGCAATAACATGCCCATTGATAGCACATGGAATCCAATTTTGTTGGCAGCTTTAAACGGGCAAAATTTAACAAGGGCTGGATTTTTTTAGAAGTATGTGATGTGGAAGGAGACACATGGGGAAAACTTCATGGAGGTGATGGTGTGCATGTGCATGGTACAACTTGTCAGTATTCCTGTCGGAGGTGATGGTGTGCATGTGCATGGTATAACTTGTCAGTATTCCTGTCCTGCTGTCTGTGCCATCCTTCTGCACCTCTGAAGAGTTTGTGTTGCTGATTTTACCTCCTTGTAGAAGTAATTCTTGCTTTGATGTTAGGCTTGGGGGGACTGGATGTAGCTTGGGAGCAGAGATGATGAAATAATGTTGTACCTAACAAGTATTTCAAGGCGTACAGGAAAATGTAGCACTTCTAGGCAAACTGGGAGTGTTTTGGGAATTGTAGCAGAGGGAGGGTTGCTCTTGGGAGTACTGGGACGACGCCAGAGAGCTGCGAGGGCCACGTGGCTTGGTGGGGTTTGCTTAAGGATAGAGTGTTTTATTCGTGTGTGCTTGCTCCTTATCTTGATTTTATGGTGGGATTTAGTGTGTATACCAAAAATAAAGTGATTCTATTTTCTCCTTTCATAGGTGTATGTAAATATATTGCAGTGGGCGTTTGATACAGGTTTATTCTAACCCAGTTAAAACGCTGGGGATACTTCAGAGGAGTGGAAGAGCTGACACTGATATAGTTGCTTGGACTCTCCAGACAAGTGTCATGTCTGTAATGGTGGCAATGGCTGGATAATTCAAGGAAAACTATCAAAATCTAACAGCAGGCAGATGTGGTGCAGTTTGCTTCTTACAAAGGTCTTGTTATATCCATGTGTATGGCCTAGGAAGATCCTGTGAACAGACAACAGGTGAATTCCTTCAGAACCTGCTGGTGCGAGGAGGATAGACAAGATCATGGAATCATAGACTCACAGAATGGTTTGGGTGGGAAGAAACCATAAAGCTCATCTTGTTCTAGCCCCTCTGCCATGGGCAAGGACACCTTCCACCAGACTAGCTTGCTCAGATGCCTAACTCCTATGCAGAATTCGCAAAATCCCCAAATCTCAGTTGTTTAGAAATAAAATCCTTTCTTTTGGAGTGACTGGAATGCAGCAGGTTTGCCGACTCAGCTGTTTGAAGCCACACAGTGACCACATCCACCGGGCATCGTTGCAGGTGACAAATGCAGGCAGAACTTTACCTGGAGGAATGAAGCTTGGTATCAAGGTGAGAACTGTTCTGTGTGGTGGCTGTTGGCTCAGCTGAAACCAGCAGTGAGCTTTTGTGTTCATTGAAAGAAGTTCTTTTAGGGAGAAATCTTTACTGTCAGAGTGGTGAGACACTGGCACAGGTTGCTCAGAGTAGCTGTGGCTGCCCCATCCCTGGGAGTGTTCCAGGCCAGGTTGGATGGAGTTTGGAGCACCCTGGGCTGGTGGGAGGTGTCCCTGCCCATGGCAGAGAGTGGGACTGGCTGACCTTTAAGGCCCTTCCTACCCAAACCAGTCTGATTCTATGAAAGGTGGCACTGGTTGGTGTATTTGATTCCCTGTTTTATTTGCAGGGAAGAAATAAAGCTTCCTTATTCTGCAATAAACTGAATCCTGACATGCAGCAGAAGGGCTCAGCTCACACAGCTCCACCCCTGTGCCTGGCTGAGAGGGTCTCAGGGCACAGGCACCTTATTGCAGCTGGGAACACCGGAGAGCTAAAGCCTGTAAAGCAGCCGCGTGGCCCCCAGGGTAGAATTCCCTGAAAGCCTTAGTGCTCTCCCTTCCCGAAAGAGCACTCATGTTGGCAGCATGAGCAGTACTGGCCAGCAGCAATGCTTTTTCTGAGCAGTTACCTTTTTTCAGCCTGAAACCCTTATTATAAGACATGTTCCTCGAGGAGTATCAGAGCCCTACAGGTGTTGTGCAGGCAGGCAAAGTATTAAAGACTTTTCAAAAAAACTGCTTTTCTCTGGATTATATTTGCTTTAGGCTTTTACATTTAAAAACTAACCAAACCAACCAAGCAAACCCCTTCAACAAAGTTGTAAAAAGGCAAGCAACGTGCTCTTTAAAGCCTTTGTGTGTGCATGCATGCAGACAGGCAGGCCGTTGTTTTGCCTTGGCAGGGGCTGTGTCAGAACACACACAGTGGGCTGGGACACCCATTAGCGGGTGCTGTGCCTGTGTGCAGGCGGCAGCGCTTTGAAAGCCACATCAAACGGCTGCAGCTCGGGGGCAGAACCAGCCCCGGGCTCCCTGCCAGCTGCTTTGTGCCTTTTTTGGAGTGATAGCACGAATGGAAGGTGGTGTGCTGCCGTGGGATGGATGAAACAGGGAAGCTTCTTGCTGTCTTCCTGAAGTTGTGTCTTGGTGAGAATGCTCTGTGTGTTCTACCCCTGTGAGAATGGAAAGGAGCAGCAGTACAGACCTGAAGTGTCCACTCCAGTGCCAGGGATGCTGCTGATCCTGGGCTTGCCTGGGAGGGGGGATTGGTGCAGCTTCCAGGTCCAGGAAGGGGTTCAAAGCAGCAGCCTCCCCTGCCCTGTGGCCTGGGGCTGAGCCAGGCATGGAGGTGTGGACATGAAGGGTCCCCACACTGCCCTGACAAGAGACAATACTGGTCATCTGCCCCATGTGGCTTCTCTCAAATTTCCCTGACACAGGAAAGATGAAAATCACTGCCCTTCAGCAAGCTCAGGGGCCAGAGAAGTGTAAGGGAAGGGATGCTGAGGGTCTTGCTGCCAGGTGGAGGCATGGTTAGGGGTGGCACAAGGAAGGGGAAGGTGCAGAAATCTGGATAATTCTACATCTGAGGGCCTGAGCTGCCAGCCCCAGCCAGTGTTCCTGGTGTCCCCTCTTCTACAGTCAGGTCCCACCAGAAGTGCTGTGCCAGTCTTCCTGGCTCTGCAGGGATGAAACCCGGTGCTGTGGAGCGAATTGCTCAAGTCACTTGACACTTGATGGTCCTTCCTAGTGCTCTCTTGGTCCCCTGGGAGCATGGGGCAGGCTGAGAGGTCTGTGCTTTCCTGGAGACGCCAGCCCTGGTGATCTTCTTGCCCATTCCAACCTGCTGGATCCTGGTCCTGCCTCAGCCGCCGGTCCCTCTCCCAGGGCAGGTGGTGTGGGAGCCCCAGTAGAAGCATCCAGGTGGCTTTTGAAGGTGGCTCACACCCCTGAGATGGGACTGGGAAGCGTGTAAGATGATGGGGTATGTTAATCCATAATTAATGGGGGTGACATGGCCGGTGGGTTATTACAGGGGAGCTGCTGGTGTGAGCAGTGTGTGCATGAGCCGTCAGGAGTCATTTGGGAGTGGGTCTGTCTGGTCATGTCCCTGAAGGACGTGGGGGGAAATGAGCCCAAGTCTCCTTCCTCCATGCATGGGGCATCCCAACCAGGGGGTGAGGCTGTGGCTCAGTCACTGCGCTGCCAGGAGCCAGGTCTCCCTGGCTGAAGGTGGCCAGGAATGGGATGTCCTGGGACAGAGCTCACAGAGGAGGGAAGGCAATCAACCCTGCTGTGGCTTGGCTGCCCCTCTGGGGGCTGCAGGGTGGTGCAGGAGGTAGGTTCAAAGCAGCAGAGATACAGGATGCAACATGCAGGGGGTGGGGGGCACCCACACACTTGGGTGCAGGGCCTAGCACAGGAAAGCTCTCCACCCATGGCCAGGATGGGAGTTTGGCCCCAAAACAGTTTTCCTCATGCCGAAACAATTTGGCAAATTGAACCCAGTTGGGGTGGCTTGGTGATGTTGAGTGAATTGGGGTTTCTTTGCTGAGTCTGCCTGGGATGGGCTCACACAGACTGCTCTCCTGCTTTGGTGCTTCACCAGGATCCCTGTCGTCTTCTGCTGCCAGAGGAAGATCCCTTGGAGATCTGATCAGATCCAGCCCTAGTCAGATCTCTCAAGGCTTGGTCAGCAGCAACATTAGGTGCTGTGGGGTCTTACCCTGTGGGACATGTATGCTGGAGAGATGCCCACATAGAACTGTAGAATCACAGAATGTTAAGCGATTGGAATCGATCTTAAAGATCATCTAGTCCCAACCCCCTGCCCTGGGCAGGGACAGCTCCCGTTGGACCCTCTGTCGGTGCTGGGGAGTGGGATGCAGGAGCTGTGGGGTGACCCTGCTGAGGATGCTGCTTCCATCCCAGTGCTGGTGGAGCTGGGAGGGTTGGGTGTCCCCGGAGCTGGCACAGCTCAGAGCTCGGCGGGGCAGCAGCACCGCGCCGGGGGAACTGCCCCGAAG